TAAACGGAGGCATGAAAATGCAATAAATTTAAAAACTGCGTTATTTTCTAACCAATCAAAGTCTTTAAATTCCACTAATAAAATTAATATCGTATCAACGTATCGTCGGACAACGGAAGCATGAAAATCAAGCTTAAGACTAAGCATAAACTAAACTTAGCTGTTCGTTCTTTAGGCAATCCTGCTGCAAATAGTACAGCGTGAGGTGGGGCTTGTATCTCTGCACTGTCTCTCGGCTTCACTGTTGGCCAATACAACGAAAGGGGTCAGACTGAGGACACCATGAACCAATATAGCCGTAACTATCAACTAGGCTTAAAAATAGGAGCAAAGCAGCATGGGGCTTAAGCTACATCCGTACTGGGCAATCTATACATAGGTAAAACTATCCGTACCTTGGACACCCGTCGATAGGACACTGTCCGCACCTTGGCCTGTCCGTCCATAGGACCCTACAAACACAAAACTATCGTTTAAAACCAAACGAGGTCTAATTAACAAAATAAACCCACCTCGAAATACTTCCGAGGACTTAATAATAAACAAATTCATATGCCCTTTCTTCCATTCAACGATATTTCGATTTAATATTCGATAATAAAGAAATATGATTATACCTAATTTTACTAAAGATACATTGCTTTTTGTTTCATCTATTCATTTACGCGAAATAAAAAATACTTATATATAGAAATATTTTGTTTTATTTAGAATATTTATTTTTTGTTGTTTATTCTATGTTTAACACCAATACATTTTAAAAAGATAAACGCCTATTTTTCATCCAAAGATATTTTTGCCAAACATATTACAAATATACCTACATTTTAATCTGGCAACACGGTCGCTTTCAGTTCCAGACCGTCTTCGATATGTCCTCGCTGGCCGAATTAAAGAAAAAGAGTGTTTTATGCGTTGGCCGCAAAGCGAGTTGGGGCTCCACCGTACAGCACTTAAGATTTAAACTTACTCTCAAAATGTTCTCTGAACTTCCTGAATGCACATTAATCCATCTTACTACTTTAATTAACGAGTCATTCCAAAAAGGAGTTTTTTCAATCTGCCTTGACAGCAATAATTATTCCTCTGCATAAAGGAGGAGATAAAGATGAAGCTTGGAACTATCGCCCAATTGCACTCCTGCCCACATTATCTAAGATCATTGAATGATTGGTTAAAAAAAGGTTGCTATCTTAATAGACGTAACAGTTGCACAAATGATGCTATGTTCGACCTTTTTAATAATGTATACTCTAGCCTGAATAACCATCACTCTACAGCTAAGTACAATTTTTTGTGATTTCTCTAAGGCTTTCGACTGTGTAAATCATAATATCTTAATTAACGAATTGCAGTACTATGGATTCAGCGGAGTGCCGCTCGAATGGCTTAAGTCATATCTTGGCAACAGAAGGCAGCTTGTGAGGATTGTTACGTCTATGTTTTCTTGTAAGCCTATAGGATGTGGTGTCCCTCAGGGTTCAGTACTTGGCCCTATTTTGTTTTTGGTGTTTATCAACGACATTGCAAATCTAGACATTAGCGGTAAAATCTGCCTCTTTGCGGACGATACTAGTTTCACTTGGAGTGGCCCAGATGTTACGGCACTATATATCCGGTATGTATAATACTATATCCAGTGACTTACGCACCATTAAATCTTGGTGCGATTCTAATCTCCTATGACTCAACCTATCAAAAACTAAAGTTTTGTCATATAAAAGTATTATACAACGTTTTGTACTAATAACACCACTATTGATGTCTTGGACCCTGTGAAATTCTTAGGACTTGTTGTAGACAACTCGTTAAAATGAGACTTGCACATCGAAGCTTTATCAAAGAAACTAAGCGCTGCCTGTTTTGCGCTAAGATCAACAATTAGATAACTGAACAGTAGAACTCACTGCCAGAAATTTCAGAATACTGACTCTTCCTTCTTTATTAATTTTTGAACCCGTTTGCTTAATCCGCAAGTACATATCTGCTATTCCCGAAAGGCCATCTCATAACTATCCACTTAGGAATGCGGAGCACGATCTTTATCTGCCAACCTCAAGCTCAGAACTAGTTAAAGGCTCAATACTGTACAATGCCAAAAAAATGTACAATCATCTGCCTTTGAATATCAAGTCGCTTTCATTTTTTCCCGCATTTCGCAAATCTCTGAAATCATACTTACTGGAGAGAGCCCTATATGCGGTAAACGACTTTTTTGTTGATGTTTAATCATGAACAATTTTGAATTTTAAAATTTTGATCATCTCACACACTGGTCAAAGGTCGAGTATTTAATATTTTATAGCTCTTAAAATTATATCCATTTATAATTTTCCTATTGTAAAATTTTATTGATATGCCTTTTTTGTGTTCTATTTTTAATTTTAATGACTTAATTTTTTTTGAATTGTATGATTTGTATTGTATATTTTTTATTATTTGTATATTTTTTGTGCTTTTGTTTTTTTTTCAAATGCTTTGTCGATGAAGCTATTTTGTTTTTTTTGCACAATAAAGCATCATTCTATTTTTAATTTTAATGACTTAATTTTTTTTGAATTGTATGATTTGTATTGTATATTTTTTTTTATTTGTATATTTTTTGTGCTTTTGTTTTTTTTTTCAAATGCTTTGTCGATGAAGCTATTTTGTTTTTTTTGCACAATAAAGCATCATTTGTTTTGTTTGCTAAGGGGAAATCAAATCAGTCTTGTCACGAATTCGCCCATTAGGTTGCGTATCTTCCAAATTCCTTCAATCAACGGTAATACTTTTAAATCTTTTTATATTATTTGGAACGTTTCAAATTGTTTAAAAAATTATTTGTGGGTGTTTAAAATTAGCATGTTCTATTTGGAGTATAAATGATACAAAAGTATTATTTTTACTCCTAATAAAACGATATACTATCCTTTTTATATTTGCGTATATAAAGGCCACTAAATGACAAATATATTGAAAACAAGCATTTTCCGTATCTAGAAACTGTACACAGTTCAATTGGAAGTACAATAATGGGTCTATCAATACCAGAAAACCCAATAAACACAATTAAGAAAGAAATAATAATAAACAATGGAAATATTGAAACTATTAATTGCAATTTTATGGCACTTTTTTATTACACTCATGTATCTTTATATCACAATATTAAATAGAAGGGCTTTTCAAATTACCCTCTAATTAATAAAATAATTTATGAAATTATCAAAGCTGAACTATGCTGATTTCTTGTATATGTATTTTTTTAGATAGAGATATAAAAAAGCACTTTATGTGCAAATGACGCTTCTATACTTTTTCCTGTTTTTTGAAGTGGTCGTTTCTTTATACACTTTTTTCTCTTGGCATAACATACCACTCCATATTCCATTCTTATCCGGATATTCTTACAGTGTAGTTAGCGTTTCCGATGTAGTAGTATTCCTTATTCGAAATATGTTTTTTTCTCTAAAATCTATAGTTCATATCAAATAAACTTTTAGTCACGTGACTAAGCTTGACCGGCACAGCTTTGCCCACTTTTACATATTTTCTTTAAATCAAAATATTTTAGGAAACAAAAATAAATTAATTATAAATACCGGGTGCGTCTCAAAAGTGGCTAACCCCTATAACTTTTTTATTTTTTCAGATAAAACAACGAGTTTTGGGTATGTTAGTATATGACATAAATTAGGATTGATGACATATTCAATTGTTTTCGGCCACTTCCGGTTTGACCGGAAATGACAACAACTTTTGATTTTTAAATAGCACCCTCGGTATTTTCTTACTTTATTCGATAGAAAAATACATTCTGAATAGATTTTACATACCATATGTCAACTTTTGACATTTTCGCATAGGGTTTATTTGAAATTGTAATCTGCGGTTCATAACTACAATTTGACTCGAAATACCAAGTGTGTGGTATCAAATAATTCGTAAACAAATGTTTTTTCCAAATATGCTAATGACCCACCCTTGTTCCAATTGAAAAAATTGAGATATGATTAAAAATACGATTTAGGCATCTTTTAACCGGCCAGGACAAGACACCAAAAACATTAGACGATTAATTATTTTTTCCCAGACTCCTTGATTAAAAATTAGTGTTTTTAACACATGGCACTCTAGATTGAAATTTAAAATAAAATTTGTGTTTGAGCGAATATGTCAAAAGTTGACATATGATATGTCATTCGATTCAGAGTGTCATTTTCTATCGAATATAGTAAAAAAATACCGAGGGTGCTATTTAAAAATCAAAAGTTGTAGTCATTTCCGGTGAAACAGGAAGTGACCGAAAACAAATGAATACGTCAATCAATTCTAATTTTGTCCATACCAAATCTCTTTTTTTATCTGTAAAAATAAAAAGTTATAGGGGTGAGCCACTGTTGAACTGTGAACCAATGAGCCACTGTTGAGACACACCCGGTATATAAATAGTTATTATTTACATCAACAAAACTCATCTTCTTAACAGCACTTAAGGGACGTAAAGGGCCATTACTACCGCTTTCCCGTTTAAAATATTCTAATAAAGTTGCGATGAGGTTTTTACGGCTATTAAGCTATCTTGTTTACTTTGCACTAAAAGAGGTTCTAAAAACAACAATGTGCGACTTTTGGCAAGGTCTGGTAGTAAACATTTTTACTATTTATTTAAACCAAATACTCGTAATACAAAACTAAAGTGTCAAAACGAATGACAATGTTAGGAAATAAAGAAATAAATGTGGCAACTTAACATTTACAACAGACCTACCACCTGAATCTCCAGCGCGAAATTTAAATTCCAGTTAGTCAGCCCGGTGCCGAATATGTCTGCTGTTGGCAACAATGAATTTAAAAATCGCGCCCTGGATTACGTAACTAAAAGTTTAATTGATATAAAATACCGTATGATCGAATAAAAACGGCGTCAGCGATGGCTACGAAATGAAGATCGCTGTCATTTTGTAAAATTATATGGGAAATGTCACCGATCGTCATTTCCAATCAAGTAGAGGGAGATGGCCGATTCTGCATCAGGAGGAGGAGGAGCAAGGAGCAAGGAGCAAGGAGCAAGGAGCAAGGAGCAGGAGCAGGAGCAGGAGCAGGAGCAGGAGCAGGAGCAGGAGCAGGAGCAGGAGCAGGAGCAGGAGCAGGAGCAGGAGCAGGAGCAGGAGCAGGAGCAGGAGCAGGAGCAGGAGCAGGAGCAGGAGCAGGAGCAGGAGCAGGAGCAGGAGCAGGAGCAGGAGCAGGAGCAGGAGCAGGAGCAGGAGCAGGAGCAGGAGCAGGAGCAGGAGCAGGAGCAGGAGCAGGAGCAGGAGCAGGAGCAGGAGCAGGAGCAAAGAGGAGGGGGAGAAGCAAGGAGCAGAAAGTGACGTCAGACGTTAGGGTGGAGCCGGAAATTACGTAACCTGTCACCTGTCATATATCGAACGTCAAACGTCATATGTCAAACGTCAAGCCCGTCATCTGGCACCTGTCAAACGTCAAACGTCATATGTCAAACGTCAAACCTATCATCTATCGTATGTCATACGTCAAACCTGTCTTACGTTATATAATGAAAAAACAATTAGAAATTTTAATATTTATTTAAAGTATGCAATACATTTACTTTTTGATATCTTAGCACAGGCACTAAATACTATTATCACAGATGATACAAACGTCAATATTATATACAAAAATAGACCTATATATGAAATCACTGTAGGTTCTTCTTTTTCCTTGTCCTTTTTACACGTCTGATTTCTGATAGTTGAACTATCGTTAAATTGATGGGGAGCACCTGCCAATGGGTTTGATCTCCAACACTTCTATTTGAAAAGATTATCCTTATTTTATATTTTATGCTTGTCTTATTCCTAGTATCTTCCACCGATAATGGGCGTTTGAAAACTTCCACCAATCCATTATTAAGACTGCTATATTCCAATCATTGCCAAGCTTCTGACCATTTACTTTCCGTTGTAGTAGTATTGTTTTTTAAACATACGAAAGCTTCAATAACATCTTTCGGTTTATTTATATAGAATGTGTTTTGTATTATAACGGCAAATGTAATAAAAGCTGAACTTAACACCGCCATCTCTAGATGCTGAATGACTGTTTAGTTATATTGATGAAGAGAATATAAACAAACTCGACATGTCGCTTGAGAAGGGGGAGGACCATCAATATGAGTCACTTGATTGGGTCTGTTGTAGTGAATAAAACATGGCAATTACGTTTGCAAATAGAAATTATTTAATTGGACGTCGTTTTTTTCGATCATACGGTATATTTTATACACAATTATATAATAAATATATTTTTGAAAACTACTTTTAATATTAAAAGAAAGTAAATTAAGGGATTTATCTAAATATTTAATAATTAAGTATCTTGTTTTTGCATATTTATCTTCATAAAAAAATAATCGATCTCACTCATTTTGCTATCTAATTTAAAGGATATAATTTCGTTATTTACCATTTACAAGGTTAATTTTGACATGATTCTTAAGTTTTCTGGAAGAGTGAAGGCTTCATAAATAGACTAATTGCCAATTAGAGAGTTATCAAAGAAGTTGCGTGATATTGACAATGTTCAAAGCCGAAGGATAAAGCAAGGAATCGCGGAGTCAAATGTAACAAGCAGTGATGTATGAAAGATAGTTGCTTGTTATCTAGTATTTACATTAATTAAATCGTCCAATAAAGTCTAAAGACGATCTCGTAATCGAGATGTTTTGCTTTAAAATATTGAATAAATATAAAGATTTTATTAACAATTTACTTTTTTATTTTATAGAAATGTCACTTGTAATGGTTTTATATTAATATTAAAAAAAACATACTTTGGATGTGATTTGATCAAAATTCGTTTATTGTGAGCTTTCATTTTGAGTAAGGAGTCAAATTTCATAACCATCGACTCTATAATATTGGAGGTATAATGATGAGTCAGTGTGTGTTAGACCACTTTTATACTGGGTCCGGCAATAGTGCATCGGGCATCTGTAGCTCCTAGAATAAAAAACTTGGAAATTTTTTGGTTAAGTGCAAACCTAAAGTATATACTAGGATGTATTTCAGGAAAATATTTTAACTTCTTCAGGGAGGCTCAAAAAAGTATGCGTGGATCGGGCTGATTTTTTTTAGAACAGCCTGTACATATTATTGTATTATTGCATTTTTGGCTTCTTTTCAGATCACTTTACATAATTCTCACTTTTCATAATATATTGCGGTAGTTTTTTTCGAAGATATTAATAAATAAATAAAAAATATAATATTTTTTAGCCTTTCTTAAATAATTTATTACAAATACAACAACTGTCCTGGAATCAAAATTATATTAGATATTTACGTTAGATGGTCCATACTTACTTTACTATAAATATCGAAATCTTAAATCATACAGTGTGTTCAAAATTCTACGCCAAATTTTCTAAAATATAAAACAATTTTTCTTCATTATTTTAAATCGAACACCCTATATATTATTCTTTTATTAGATGGGGAATTAAAAAATAAACATTTTTTGTATTTAGAGTATTTCAAAATTTTTAACGGTTTCGCAGATACTCGCGGTATTATTTCATATGGCTCTTTCAACGGTAAAATATGAGTGAAAAATAATTGGGTGGCTCTTTGATAAAAATAAAGTTTTTTTAAATGAAAATTTCCATCTAGTAAAAAAATAATACACCAAGTTCCATTTAACAACCAAAGTTCTACATACAACATACCCAAGTTCCATTTAAAAAAACGAAAAAAAAATATTTCATTTTCTAGAAAGTTTGGCTCAGAATTTTAAACATCCTGTATGATTTAATTAATTTGCTATTTATAGCAAAGTAACTACAGGCCATCTAACGTAAATACCTAAATATGGTTTTGATATCAGGACATGTTCTTGTATTTTTATTATTTTTTTTAAGAAAGGCTGAAAAATATATATTTTTTATTTATTTAGTAATCCCTGTAACTATTGAAGTATATTTACTCATGTCTTAGGATTATGTAAAGTGATCTGAAAGGAAGCCAAAAATGCAATAATATACAGGGTGTTTCATTTAAAAAATTACCTCGATCCACTCACACTTTTTTGAGCCATCCTGTAGAAGTAAAAATATTTTTACTGTAGGTTTGCACTTAAACAAAACTCTCAAGTTTTTTATTCTAGGAGTTACAGAAACCCGACGCACTATTGCCGGACCCTGGAAACATATGCAGGTTATTTTCCTTTTTGCTTCTACAGACTAGAAGATAAATGTTCCTAAAACGTTCAGTGTTTTTTTGGATAATTTTGGACAAAGAACGATAAATTTGTGTTAAACCAAATAATCTCTGACAAATTTGATCTGAGTGTGTGAAAGGGAAAGACTAAGAAGGGTTTTAACGTAGACAAAACCCGAAATCATCAAAACAAGAGAAAGAATACAAGTACCAGATTTTTTTACCATGCGAGTTGGGTTATTACCATGCTATAAAATTAATAGACCTAAAGGAAGACGAAACCTGAGATGGGACCATGATATTAGGGAATTAGCAGGGATAACTTGGGCACGCATAGCGAACAATAGACAACAATGGGCCCAACTACAAAGAAAGTATCTAAATATGTGAGGGAGGCTACACCATAATTGGAAACGGTTTGGTTCAGTATGCTAAAAATGATAATGATGATGATGAACGTTGCCGTTATAGTTAGCGTCAATAAGGATCGGAACACTAAAATCATATTATATATACTTTAGTTAGTTTCTTCAAATTCACCAGATGGCTCTAAATGACGGATTTATTTGTTTTATTGAAGTGTACCGTCTATTTCTAGTATTAGTTTATGAGTTACATAAATCATTCTTCTGTTTGCAGTGCCATAGTATACAGCATAGGCAACTTCTCTCATGTTCTTGTCATGTTTGTCATTATAGACACATAGAGATACACAAATAAGTTTTATTAACAGATGGTATTCATGTCCAAATAAATTGTGAAGCACGAACAAAATTAATAATAATAGCTCCCGGGTATAGAATTTACGCCTTGAGCAAGGCACAGCTTGCCATGCTAGAGCTGATCGGTATTACATTACCTTCTTTGTGGCTAGCACTACGCTTCAACCTATTATTACCTCAGGATTGTGAATTCATGATTGTGAAAAGTATTCATTTAAGGCTGAGTCGACCTAAGTACGGAAACTATTATTATTTTATTGATGAAACGCCGACTGTAAGATTCGAACCGACAACCTTTAGATTGGTAGACGAGAGCTATACCTCTACGCCACCGGGCGCGAACAAAATTATTCTTTTTAATTCAAACTAAGTTTAGAGTGAGAGACCCTTCATATTACAGGGGAATAACAATGCTGTGTTCTATGGCTAACAGCTATTTGCTAACTAAAACATTAATGCAAAAACTTAGTGAACAATAATTAAACATAAGCTAGGAAAAACAAGGCTATTATAGACCCAATATTTATACTGCGTCAAATGGTGGAGAAATCCATAGAGTTCAGCAAGCCATTGTTTTTGTGCTTTGTTAATCTGAAGCAGTCATTTGTAGGTTACGTCTGACAGAACAGAATGTCATAAGGATCCTAAGAGACAACAATATATCTGAAACTTACTGCAAATTAATAACGCAGCTAAACACTGGGAAATCTATTAAAATTAAAACAGAAGACGGCTTTTTTGAAAATCTACCAGTCTCTGTCGGCGTGAGGCAAGGGGACAGTCTCATCAGCCAAATAATTAATCAAGAGTCCCAATTTAATTATTTGGACGTGAATATCGTAGCGTTTTTTTCGTATATAGGGTGTTTCATGGGTGAATCATGGCGATGGCACGTTAGACGTTATAGAATTTTTTTGGAAATTTGGATTTTTACATAAAGGCACCTGCTCTATTTTTCTAAAATATTTTCAGCATTACAGTGTTGCCCCATCATTTGAAAAGTGGTAGCATCTTTCTTATTTTAAATAGAACACCCAGTATATTATTCCATTTTTGGAAACTACTTTCTTATCTCATAATTTTTCTATTATACTAACCTATACCCGAGCCTATACCTCTCTCTAAAAGTTTTTGAGATAGAAAATAAAACATGTGTAAAACTGACAAAAATATGATCGTGAATAAGCATTTGTAAAATCATGAATTAGGCATATTTAAAGTTGAAATTTGGGTTATAAATTAACGAAAGTCAATATATTTGATCTGTCTAAATAAACCGATTGGATTTTAAACCATGAGAGAAAAATTACTTATTTCCGTTTGTTATAAAATTGCTCAAATCTTTGTTATTTTAAATTCAACCTTATGTATATTATTTAAAAAATAACAAACTAATAAAATTGCTTTTCAACGATATATCATGTTCCTATA